TTTTTTTTTTTTTTTTTTTTGCTTTACGGAATAGCCAAAGTCAATTTTCTGTTTAAGTGTTAAGAAGAAAGATTTCTAAACTGTTACTCTGAAAAAACCTGAATCGTCTGTTCAACCTTAATACGTATACATAAATATATATATATATTTGTCTTTATTTGTTTATTTGTTTAACTATTTACTTATTTATTTATTTATATAAATGTCGTTAAAAACAGAGTGTTGCGTATTGTCGGTTGCCCAAACTGTTCGACTTCTGTAGCAAAACTGTTCGCCTATGTAACCGCTGTTTGTCGTCAATTTTTCGATCAATATTGTTGGTTTTTTAAGAAAAGCCCAGCGTCTTTTGCTGCGTTCAGTCATGTCTCACAGCACTGACAATAGTAGTGGAAACTAGGTATCAGACTAATTACTATTATCGACATCATCTTCTTATTACTAGTGGCCGTTATTCCAACAACAAAAAGCCATTTCTCTGTTTATAACTTCCATACAGAATCATTCCTGTGATACAAACGCTTTTTTTTCACAAGAGGTATTCAGAAATCTTTTTTTAAAGTTCCTATTTTTATTAAAACTTATCTTTTTTTTTCTTTTTACTGAGATTTTCAATAACTTTGGATTGTAAAGAGGGGGAGAGGAAAAGGGGAGGAAGGTGGGGGGGAAGAAAAAGCAACAGACCAAGAATAAATAGAAGCAAAGGAAATAAACGAAAAGCAAAGAGAGACAGCTAAAGGTTGTTGCCATCACAATTTATCTGTGTTTTGACTGTAAGATACAATGAAAGGTGATATTGTTAGCATTGTTTTGGTGGTTCTTTACCGTCATTACCAAACGTCTGTTCTCTTTTTTTTTCATTCTGGTAAATATGAGGACAGTTACGCAAAAAATTTCAAACAATCGTTTACTATGACTCTTAAACTTCTAAACCAGCAATTACAACATAACAATTTTTTTTTATTGCAGTATCATAGCAAACTTTGCATAAAAGTGTAATAAAGTCAATAGTTCTTGCTTGAATCATACTGTTGTTCTGTCTCTGCTGTGCCTTCCCAAATACTTTTTTCCCACAAAAGTTGCCATCTTGGCTAGTAAAAAGAAAAAACAGGAAGGGAAAAGCGCCAGTTTTGCCGCTTTACTGCCTGTCAAATGTGTAGAAGGAAAAGGAGGAAATATAATGCCGGTTAAACAACGAAGTTAGTTTGGTGGGAAGTAAATCGACAATGGACAGAAAGTAAAAAAAAGCAAACGAAAGGTGCAGTATATTCAATGTAAATTAAAAAAATAAAAACAAGAAAGGAAAAAAGGGAAAGAAGGACGATGTTTTCTTACTAAGTTTCAAGACTAAACACTATTGTACATTTTGAGCAAAGATCAGCATCGAACACTGGTTGTCTTTATTCGTTAAATTGACGATAAATTTGCCTCTACTGAAATGAATCTGTCAGTGTACAGTTTCTGTGGCTTTTCAACCTCAATAACTGATATTTAATTGTTTGAACTGAGAAGGAGATTTTATTAAAAGTGTATTATTTTCTATTGTTTGATATAATCTAGAAAAAATTTGCTTGACCTGTATTCGTATCTTTTTGTAGTTTATACAGTTACCAAGTACTTTTGAGCTGTAAACTGCTTTTTTTCTCGTAAAGTACAAAATATTTCTGGTCAATTTATTAAAAGATGACCGAAGCAGATAAATACGGTTTAAGAGAGCAGCGACATGTATTCAATAAGAAATTGAAAGAATATAACTGATGAAGATCAGTTATTATGTCATAAATTTTTTTTGTTGAATTTTTTTATTTTTTTCATTTCGTTCTTCTGTTGCTTAATTCCTTCTCGGCAGTTACATCAATTATTTCATTGCGTAAAAATTGAGGAGTTTAAATACTGGTCTCACCCACTGGAAAAAAAAACCAATTTTCTTCAAATCTTAAATTTAAAGACATGAAAAATTTTTAAAATATCTCTCTAGTACTGATAAATTTTGTTCACTGCTGATGAAAGAGGAAGGAATGGGACAAATGATTTCTGAAAAAAAAAAAAATGTAATGCATTAAGTTCGTTAAATTCGTTAAGTTTCGTTAAGTTCGTTGCGGAACGTTGATGAAAATTGGTGGCAGATAGTTCAAATACTCTTCAATAAATGTCTTCTAATTGTCGTTTTGGTTTGTTTAATTACTTAAATATTACAGTTGTAACAACAGAAAGATTACTCAGTTATTTTTAGGAATTCTAAATCATATGACTTAGATTATTTTGACATATTCACATTTTCAAAAAAATTGCTATCAAGCGTGCATTGCTGTGCAGCAAAAGAAAACTGACTTAACGACGCGGCAGTGGTACATATATTCAATTTTACAATATAATCATATGATATAAGTGAAAAATTGTGAAAAAAAATTTGTACACTAAGTATCATTCTTTAGCTTGATACGTGTAAAATAATGCTAAAGATTAATTTTTTTTTCAGTGTTTATAAACATAAGGACGGAACGGGGGGGAAACGTGCATGAAAATCAAATTGAATACATGCTTTAAACATGCACCTCACTAACAGTTACGCACCGTCTTCCCAAACGCTCTGCATTCTGTCTTACAAAGTTCGTAATTCTCCACTTTTCTGAACTTATTCCTTTTCAAAGTTGGAAGAGGATAAAAGAGATTGACAAGGATATAAGAATAAAAAATCTTTGGGGTAGTTTCGGCATACATGAGCAAACCCTATTTTAACTTGTCATCTATAATTTTTGTCATCAGTATATATTTATTAACTACGATAATGTTCTAGAACATGATTCTCTCAGCTATTCGTAAAATCAAAGTATTCAGTAACAGTTTAGTGGCTAAACTTGATCAGATGGCAAGTAATTAGTGTTTAAATAATCAAAAAAAGCTTCCACCGATTAGCGATACTGTAATGTAAGCTATCGCTGATTTAGTAAGATTTCATCTTTTAACGCTCATTTTGCAGCAACTTTTTAAGCCCCTTTTTACGCATCTAACCACAATAGATTTTATTTACGGTACTTATAAAAATAACTTAGAACAAGTTGACCAGCAAATAAAATTTAATTTAAAAAATCTTCTGCTTTTATTTACCAGGTAAAAGTTTGATACAAAAGAAAAATATTTTTTTTTTTTTTTGAGTTTTTTCTGCAGATATTCTTTGCCTGCACTATGTTCTATACAATATTTTAAGTTTTTTAATTGAAATAGAAATAAAGATCTGAAGCTGAATTTTTGAAAACAGCAGATCAGTTTTAGTGCATTTGTTGCCACTGTTTATAGTTGACTGTCACATTTTTGGAAAGAAAAATCTGTTTTTGCGTTGCAAATAAAATTGTTACATTACTTTCGGTGTTGTCATCGTCAATAAACAGTTTTCTTTCTTTTTTAAAGTCTGTTTGCTTTTCTTCCTTTTTTTTGATGGGGTAAAAGTTTAAAACGTTAGATGACTCAGTGTTTGATAAAGTTGTAAAATAAGCAGGTTTTTTTTTGTCGTCAACGACCTTTATTGCTCGTCATTTAAATTGTTGCTTACAAGAATTTTTCTCTTTTCGTCTTTTTTTAGATTTATTGACAATCCCAGTTCAATTGTGGTAATTAATTTAAACAATGGTCTTTGCTTGCTAACTTACCAGTCCTATATTCTGAGCTGCTTTCAATGGATCAACTGCCATCTTCGTCGTCACCGTTGTTATCGTCATCGTCAACGACAACGGGCAATGGAGAACGCTATGGCGGCGTTGGAAGCAACGCTGGTAAACGTCAAAGAAAGAAACTAGTTCACCAAACATCTTTAGATTTAGGTTCAGACGGATACCAAATCCCCGGCAGTGTGAGCCCAGTTCAGCCTGCTGACAGTCAGACCGATCTTACGGCTGCCGTACAAGCTTCTCAACAGGTCAGTTTTGTTCTATAAATATCACTTGTATGCACTGTCTTGGTTAATACTTCTGACAAACTAAGATACTAGGAGGCGGTTTAGATAATTTGAAAAAGTTACTGAATCATTTTCAGTTTAAATATTTTTGAAAAAATGATTTTTTCTGTAGTATCTTGACAAATAAATACAAAAGTTTAATTTAACATCTCAAAAGACGTTTTTAGTTAAAAAGAAAAAGTGTGTTAATTATTCTTCAAATGCAGAAATATTTGGAATATTGGTTCGGTCCGTCAATGTCTAAGTATACAAAATTTTTATAACTTTTTCATTAGTTAGATGAAGTAAGGCAGTATTTTTAAAATTTTTGTACGAATGACTCTGTATTTCTTTCAATAATTGAGAAGTGTTTTGAACAATTAACTTTTCAAAAACCAATTTTAATTGGTCCATCACCCAATGTAGATTTGTGAAAATTCGCGAAAATGATAGTGCTTTGGTTTATGCTTTGAAAATTTAACCTTTACGTTGTGCTTTCTGTCTGCAACAGCAACAGTGGCTGGAAAGAACTTTTGGTAACAGTTCCAAAAGCAAACCAAAATGATTAAAACTTAGCAGATTTTGGTACACATTTTTTATTTTTGGTTTTCAGTAATAATTACTGCAGTGAAGACCTGTCGTACGACCTAAATTAGGATTTTTTTTCAGCAGTTGTTTTGCAACTCACTGTTAACCTAATCAGTAATCTGTAACAGCAATAGCAGTTTTATGTATCACCTTTTTGGGCGTCGTCATTCATCACCATATTTTAAGATCTCTCTTAAAAGCTTAGTCAAGTAAACTGTTACATGTAACAAAAATACGTTTCTTTAAAAACGTTTCATAAAAAAAATTTCTTTTGAAAGGCTTTTTAAAGCTTTTAAAAGTTTACTTTTAATGCGACAACAGATTTGCGGCATAAAAAGGCAGGTGAATTGTATCTGTAGTGATAAACATATTCGATGTCTTCTAATTCCATTCTATGAGTACAAAGATGTAAAGTTCAAATATTGTACTGAGCAAAAATTTAGGACATTTTGATGAAATATCTCTTCCCGGCAGAAAACTTTTGTGAAAACCTTTGTTGTCCTGTCAAACGCAATGTTAGTGGGGTCTTATTCAGAGCAGTTGGAAGTACAATATGGAGAGTGTCTAGCTGCATAGCAAGTCACTCTAGAAGAACATTAAGTTTCTTAATCATAATGCTAGAACTAACTTCCATCCACTTAAAAACCCACTTAAAACCCCGAAACACTCAGAGCGGGTGAGAAGCCAATTTACAGATTGAATGTCAAAGATTTTTTTTCTCCATTCTCTTATTCAAGCAGTGTCCTGATCGTCAGCTATACCATTAACGTTAACCCGTTATACTTTTTGTGATCATTTTCAGCATTCACACTCCCAGCCGGAAGTGATGCAGGAGGTGATAGACGAAGGAAAAGAATGGAGTGCAATGCCATCTATCAACTGTTCAGCTAATCTTCTGAATCCAGGTTATTGTTAAAATTGTTACCTGGCAGAATTATTTAATGCTCATTTTTATTTTAAACCAATTTGCGTTAGATATATTTTGAAAAATGCGGTAACAAGAACCACCGCAGCTAAATTCAAAATCTTTGACTTTGCAACCTGAATTATGGACAAACGAAGTAATATTCGCTAAAGTTAAAGTGGTATTGAGCAAGTACTAATTTTTGATGAGCTGGTCAAAAACCAATACCTAATCAGTAGAGTACGAACATATCTGAAATGAAACACAGTTTTCAACTAGATCTGCACTGGAACTTTGATTATTTAGTGATATTTACTGAATCGTTTTCAACTAAATGGTTTGCAACTTGTACTATAATATAGCAGAAGCAATAAAATAGTTTTCCAAAATCGGACGTTCATGTCTCTCATAACCGGTAACAGATGTAATACTTATTTGTCTGTTATAATTTACTTTTGAATCTCCACCTTCACAGCATTAGAATTTCTGTAATCCTTTAATGTTCGGAATTTTTCTGGATGATAGGTTTTTAGGGGCGAAGAAATTCAATAGTGGTTTTTTTGTTATTTCGTCTTCCCTTCTTTTATTTACTTTTTCCACTTCCTTTACCAGTTTGTATCAAGACTGACAAAACAGGATGCATATGTAATTGATGTGTAACGTATCATTTATATAGGAAAATCAAATAAAAAATATTAAAAAATCTTGAATTGTACACTGAGACGCACTAATAAAATCGCTTTTATTTGGTGCTCCGCTGTCTTATTTTCTAAACTTGTCTGCAGGTAATTTTTTATTGAACGATGCTGGCAAAAAAGCAGTACTCAACTAAACCAGACTAAAAAGCTATTTTTTACCTGTTTTTTTCCTCTTAAATGTTTTACTTCTACAAGACATTTTCCTGTGATAGCACAAACCAACAAGTATAGAATAAGGTAAACCAGCGGTAAAGAAGAATGAGGAAATGGATATTTTAGAACAGTAGTACTATCAAAGAAAAATAACATTGATTTTCTTTAATTTTTTAATTTTCATTTTCTGCTATTTTTCAAACTAATAGCTACAGTAAACAAAA